AAGGAAATTACCGGTCATAAGCTTCCGTGGAAGGATATTATTAAAGTTGATATAATTGCGTCATATTGTGAATTAAAATTTAATTATTTGTGTTTTTTCCATTGTATATAAATAAAATTATACATAAGATATTAAAATATCATTTACATATTTGGTACAACTTTTTACTATATGTTTCGGTTACATTGAACCATCTTCAGGTGTAAAGTTAAAAGTTAAAAATTATAATCTTATAAACTACAACTTAACTACTGTTGTTGTGTAACTTCTGATGATGTTTACTTCCAAATTCATTGGAGTGAGGGTATATTTTGAAGTGATAGTGGTTTAACTTTACACCTGAAGATGGTTCAATGTAACCGAAACATATAGTAAAAAGTTGTACCAAATATGTAAATGATATTTTAATATCTTATGTATAATTTTATTTATATACAATTGTGATTAGACGGAAAAAACACGAATAATTAGATATTATTAAAATTGATCTTAAAAAATGTTTAAGGGAGGGGTGTGGACTGGGTCTGTTTTGTTCAGACAAAGGACTAGTGGTGGTGAGTTGTTATAAAAGTGCTAATGGACCTTCGGTTTCCCTAAACGAGGGATTTTTATTGACTAGTTCTGCTTCATCGATTGATTGACGCACAGTTGAACCGTAGAGCGCAAATATGCCTCAGGGGTTTCAGACACTGCAACTTCGCTGCTTCTTAGGTAAAGGCTGAAGTCAGGCGACGGCAGCGGCTGCCTTGCAGTAATGCCAACATTTCGGTTATTCGCGCTGAGACATTGCCGTATCCGCCCACTCTCAAGTTCAGTTTCTCTTGGCTTTCACTTCTGTGTCTCGTGGAGTAGCTAACCCTTTTTTCCAGCTGTAGCGTTATCAATCTCAAAATGTGTGTCGTAAGCAAGCAGTTTTATGAATAACTCGGTCAGAGTGAGGCTGCTTCAGCAGGCTAACACGATCTGACCTTGAAAAAAAGATAAATCCATATGCAGTGCCATCTGGTCTGCAAATTACGGGCCAAGTAGGATTTGAGGTTTTCGCGGCGTTGACCACGAAGACGGCTGTCTTGTGGGTCGCAGCGCCGTGTGGTCTGGCGCTACAACCCAGAAGACAGCCGTCTTCAAATTCCTCGCCGTTTATGGAACCCGTCAGCAGCGAGCTGAATCAGGTCACGACCGATAAATCACAGATCAACAACGATGAATGTAATGTGTACGCTCATCTCCTGTTTTACTCGTGTGAAAATGCACGAAGGAACCGAATGTTGCGGTTCGTTTGTTTATACGGCGTCCACCAGTGGTCTGGTGTCCACTGTCGCGCACACGTGAGAGCTATCTTATGCATGTGTTCGTCATTCGTTTAGACAGTCTTTGTGTATGTGTCCGTCGCACAGAACGAGGACGATGGACGCTGCCGTGAAACTAGAGGCCGAATGCCCCTCTGTTCCTCATGTTGTCTTATATCTGAAAATATTTCGCGTATGTGAGGCACGTTTGGTATTGGAGAAGTTTGCTGGGATAAGCTCACTTCGGTCCATATCAGTTCAGTTTTACCCCCAGAATTTGTTCTACAAATAACTCTTTGGGGATCAAATCGAGGAGATTAGATGGGTGGGGCACGTAGCACGCTCGAGGAGTTTCGTACAGAAATTTAGTTTGAAATGATGAGGGGAAGATATTCCTGTAGAAATTTCGGCATAAATTGGAGGATAACATTAAAATTAATCATAAGGGAATGACATGATGGGTTGTAGGATGAATTCATATGATGGGGCCGCTGCGATTTTAAGAATATTAAATTTGAATATTGGGGGTCCCATAAAAAGTAGGCGAATTTGTTTGCCAGCTGAGCGTCTAAAAGCTTCTCGAGAAAGACTCTCCTCCATGGAGTTGATGACGGCAGTTGAGTGCATGTGCACTTCCTACGTCGCCTTCCTATCTGCGATTACCCTCAGTTCCTTCATACGTATTCCGGGTCCGCATCCTTTCAAATCCTCCCCGGTTCAAAACTTATCATGCTCTAACTAGAAGGTTTTGTAGTTGTGATGATCATCGTACGAACGGATCACGTGACCCAGCCACGTGCACATTGGTTCTCGGTGTGCAGACGCACGGCGCATGTAGAGAAATACAATAATTGTAATATTATCCCTAAAAAAAGTGTGTTAAGTTTGTAAATACCTCAGTCGAAATATGAAATTGTTCCTCAGGTAATAATATAGCATAAATTGAACAGATTTGTCTCCTGTGATGAAAATGTAAAAGCAAAGAAACGCTGAGTGTCCTCTTTATTTACCGGTGATCGTAGAGAACGCGCAGTTCGAAGCTTTCACGTGACCTTGAAACACTTTGCCGCAATCACGGTCAGACTCTGCCGGTGCTAGGTTCACGGAAGCAAGCGCTCCGGATGCTGGAGAGTTCCACGAAGCGGCGGACACTTCGTGGGCCTGTTACTCGTGTGAAGGCTGTGACTCCGCTCCAAGAGCTACGAATGCTTTAGTTGTCTGCAGGGACTAGATGAAACCTCGTAGACGCGTGCCAGCCAGCATTTGAACTCGGAACCTCCCGAAAACGAGACCAGAATGCTAACCACGTTCAATACGAATCGCGATTAGAAACGTGTTGGTATGTTCTCAGGCGACGTCTTTAGATTCACTGGTAACCTTCGGAATGGGGCACATTTCGACGCAATGCATGAGAGCTTCGGTCAGATTCTTCCCACAATTTTCTGTGTTAATTGTTCGGGTTCATTCGACGTTCATGGCTGCTGACAGTGTCGTTAGATGAACCACAAATTAAAAATTCATCATTCATCACACAGTTCACGACGCATAATGTCAACAGAATTAAATAACGAACAGAAATCATCGTATCCACTGTGATGATCCCACCTTCTGCTGATTGCCTTAGTCAGCTGTTGTATTTTCACGTCCGATAAATGATTATCAGTACTCCGTACACAGGGACTGAATATCTCAATGAAAATTCAGGTTTCAAAAAAGACGGGATAATTTGTTGACTAGCTGAACGACTATCAGCTTCGCAAGGAATGTTCTTCATGAAGTTCGCTACCTCATGTGGCTTGTGCTGTCCGGTAACGACTGTTTGCATCAGCGCATTTAAAAATGCATACACTTTTTTCCCCAGTTTATGCTACATAGAAAAATACATTCTCCATTTGTGTATCTCCTCCTGACGAATCCTGGGACTCTCCTGATCTTGATCTTCTAAATGAAACTTTCATGAACAGCTTCGTATTTGCCATCCATATTTACATAATTTCGGTGATTGATCTCCTTGACGTAATTCCACTCCTCCATTCACCGCCACAGACTATGAGTTCGTGCGGTCAACTAGCCTAATCGCCCAAGTGGCGATTGTAGGTCAAAGAAAAGGTTAAGAAGAAAGTGACGTTCTCAGAATACTGGATTGCTTTCCCCAGTGAATCTGCTTCGTCCTGAGTCTCCACTGCAGTACACGGGGCACATGCGCACTTCACCCTGGCCTAACCCCTGCGCCAGATCCGCATTAAACTCCGTCTTACAAGTCGTCGCTCTCCGACAGGTTTCCCAACCAAATTCTGCGTGCATTTTTTGCCTCCCCCGTCCAAACAACACCAGACAACCTCTGTAAATCACGATGGCCCTCGTTATGTAAGTTCACCGACGTTTCAGATGAGTTTTCTGCCTCATTGCCCTGATGATGGAGGCAGAAAACACCTTTGAAACGTCGATAAACATCTACCAGTTACACGGCTCAACAACCCAGAAGACAGTAATCCTTCCTCATGCCCACGTCAGCTTTCTGTTGTCCGAATGCTCACTTTAACGCTCTGTTTTTGAAATACCAAAAAGTTAAATTCTACCGTCAGAGTAGGAAAAATAAATAAAATAATATAACCGTTTCCTGATCTTCCGCGTTTTGAAAGAACGCGTAATTACTGTTCTGTAATACGTTCTGAAGTAGAAGCCACCACTTAGGAGCGTCTGTATAACCGCGGGTCCTTGGAACCTTCGTTTTCGAGATATGGCCTCCAAGATCACCTGACTTAAGCCAACAAGATTTTCGTTTATTTTCAGTTAACGGCGCACCGGAACTGCGACAGAAGGCGGATTCCAATTGATTAATGACACGCCTGGAGCTCCGAGCGCGTGCTGCAGTCCTTTGATCCGAGACGCAGCACGCGCGTGGGCGTCTCTTTGAGCAGTTTCTGTGTCGTTTGTTGTCGTAATAGCAGTGATCAGCGTTTTGCAAGAATTTTCCTGTCGACACGTCGTCATGTCATGTTTTTGTGCACAGAACACCCGGTGATCAACAGTCCAGTCCCGACACTTGGTGGAACGTTGGTTTCTTTGCGTTTGTGTATACTATAACTTGATTTTCTCGTTTTCCGTGGTGCTCGAAGTGTCATCACACGTTTCCTTACAGCAAGCTAAAATGCCAAAGTCATGCCGCTCATTGCCTGGAAGAATGTTCTGATGATGAGAATTCTGCGATGTTCACGCCGTCACTTGCTACGATCCTGAGCGAGTTCCATTCGGGTCGCATTTTTATTATGTGTTTCCAGGGCATTCTTTAGGGCGGGGCATCCGCCTTGGGTCCCGCTAATCGAAATTAGAATGTACGAAGTACGAAATGCACACAGAGTAAAAATGTAACATAAAGCATGTTAAAGTATAAGAATATACGATTGAAAATATTCTGCACGGCCCCAGTAATATTAAACTTACAAGTTACAGGCTGCAAAGTTATTCGTTTTAAGTTGAGCGTACACTCTATTTTAGAATTACAGAAATTAATTGCAGTCAGTGTTAGAAATCAGTTAATACGCACAGTGCTGTCTTAGAAATGAATTAACGTATGTATAGAAGGTCGGTCAGCGCGTTATAAACACTTGTCTTCCGGAGCGTTGAACTGTTAAAAGTAAAATAGTTAAAACGTACGGAGCAAGTCGTTTGAAATTTTGAAGGTAGGAAGTGTCTCCTGATTGTACTTACCTCTGGCTCTCTCCTGTGTTCGAAGCGAAATACTCGATTGGACGCCCAGAGTATGAGCTCTTGCCAGGCACCTTCACTCGTCAACTACTTGAGACGTAAATGTGAAAACCGTGTCCTGAAAGAGAATATATCTCAGCACCGAGATTTTTTCTTGTAAATGCATCTTGAAGTCGTCAACCAATCCCGTGTCGTCTTGGAACTACGGGTCTGTACCATGCAGCAGTGAGTGAGCGGGGTTGATGGTGGATCTAGGTCATACGGACCGAAGATCGGAGAGCGCCTGGGGACATTTAGAAACAGCGGTCACACGTCTCTTTGCACTGTTACCAGATCATCGCTGCCAGAACCTGGAAGTGTATTCATTATTCTGGTATTACTGGGACCTTCCCGTTGTCGGAGAAGTAAAAACTGGACACTTTTAATTCGCTATAGAAAGCAAAGTGGGTCTTGTGCTGGAACGCAAGCTTTCGTCAAAAATTCGTGTCCGATACTGTGAAAAGATCGTAATCAGGACAGCTGGCCTTCGGATCTTCAAAAATTCTAAACAGATTTGCCAACCATTAGACTGCGAATTTCTGTCAGATTTCCCGTGTGCGGCACTTTAATGCCTGTTAAGTAATTAAACTCGATCTTGAGCTGGTCAATAAATCACTCACCTTTGTGGACCAAAGAAGATCGTTCCCGCGTTCATTAGAGCCAGCTCTTACGCTCGTACAGTGTTAATTGTTAAAACGTTCTGACGTTCGTACCTTTCCTGCCATCTTCCTCTGGGGTTACGCAAATGTTCATTTCGCTTCGTGTTTCCGACTAAACCTCTGCACGCATTTCTCATTTCTGCATGTCTCTGTCATGTCCTCTTCTTTGGTGTTATTCCACTAATAGAATTTGGTTAACAGTGCAAATTACGAAGCTCATCAATTTTGGTTAACATCGGAAAACTGTAACGGGTACATTTCAATTCATTGGAATCGGAATGGGTTTCGGCTCACGGAATTTACTTGGAAGGGAATCCCCAGTCAGGCAGGTGGGGAATCCTTGACTACCACGGCTTCCTTGAGAGGGTAGATCTGTGTAAACAACACACAATGCGTTGAGGCAGTACGTGTTTTAGAGACGAGTTCTGCGTGACACGGAAACATGCAGACTTTTCATTTTCATTATGGCGTTAATCCCTGATCGTCGCGCTTGACGGCGAGAGGACTTAACGGAGGAATTATATCGCGGGATTTACGGACCGAATTTAATGGATTGAAGAAGCCGCGGAATTTTACTGAGGCTTATACCAAAACTCATAATCCGGGGCTGCTTCTGGCACGAGGACGACATTTTCCGTGCATTATACACGTTACAGTGACGGTGATTTGTGTGGTGTATGATGGATTTAGGAACGTATTCGCCGTTTACAATAAAATAATAACTCGAACACGAAGTTCATCTCAGTGCGAGCTGCGTCGTCTGTGACAAACCGTCCCAGTACGTATTATTTTCTCCCAGTGGATCAAGGCGCATCCGGACAGTCCCTTTGGACCAGGAATCCTCTGGAGTCTGTGCAGGTCGACACCCTGGTTCGGCCTCGAATTTTATTGTCGTTGGATTACTCTGTATGATGATGATGATGATGATGATGATGAACGTGACTGGTCATCAGGTCGTCTGCCTTGACCTCTGCTCTGCACTGGCTGAGGCGATACGTCTCTCTGTCATCGGGGGGGTGGAGCGCCTGTCGCCTTAGGCCTCCTCGATCTAACATTGGTACAAAACTGTCTTTGAAGGTACTGATATGCAATTTCAGTTTTTTTTTAATTGACATGAAGCGAAGCTTAATCTCTGAACCTTAACAAATGGAAAAGAGGCTCATTGAAGCCCTGAGGGCGTTGCTCAAAGTATTCCTTTTTTCCCTTCACGGATTTAAATTATGGGCGTTGATTTCTGTTTGCTAATTTGCTTCCCGTTTCGCAGTGATTGCCTTCAAGGTGAGTTCACTTTGTCTTAGTCCTGAATGGATCTTGGCACAATTAGACGACTATTTCTCTCTCTGCCACGTAAGGGGTTCGTCCAAAACTCTTGGTGTGACTGTGTCAACATTTTCTAGAAGTTCTCTTCTAACAGCCCCAACTGACGACCGAACTCCGTTGACTTGCTTCGTCGAGGGCAAAGCACATCCAAACTGGGGCGGACAAGTGACCTTTGTCATCATTCCGAATTAAATGTAACAGATGCAGTTTGTATTTTTACTGTTTTACATGTAGATCCGTCTGGCAGATGCTGGATTAGACTCCTTACTCGTGAATATTGACGCAGCACAACGGGGCAGTCAGAGAACAGCTACAGCTTAAAATAAAAGGTTAAAATACCGAAGAATGAAATCAGGTCAGTGGAAGAAGAAGAATAAGAATAAAACGAACTAAGAACGTAATAGTGGAAGCGGGAATCAGCGCCAACGAAAACTTCTGGTGGAACGACTTAATTGCAGAAGAAAGTACGGAGGAACTGGTTTAAAGACGGCCGACGAGGCAGAAGTATCTGAGGCGGTACGTGACACGTTCCTCCGAGATGGTGGCGACCATAAGTGACATCTGCACACCGCATAGCATCAACTTCAGGCTCGTTCCTGCTATTTTACCCAGAATTATGTTGGTCCACTTCTGTCTGGAATTTTCGTTTCGCCAATGCCGATCCCCTTCCCTGTCCCTGCCAAATAAAAAAATCACGCGCCAGCGAATTAATGAATACACGAACGCAACACAATTCGCGGATGACCCCCGATGCTTCTGACCGTTCAACAGTGACCTTTGTCGTCATTGTTTCTGTCGGTGACCTTTGTTCCATTCTTACGTGAGTTACCTCTTATGATAGTTCCTGGGAAAACGGGACAGACAGACGGACGGACTTGGACTCTCACGCTAGAGCGTGACTAACATCTGAAAATCCGCGCGTTCAAAAATGCGGAAATGAAGTAAGTGTGTTTGTTGCTTCAGGTGGGTGTGAAATGTGGACTGAGACTGTCTCGAGAAAAAAGCGACGGACGCGTGTCTCACTCTGTCGTCGGAATGGTGGAAACAGGTTTAGGATTTGAAGCCTGTTCGCCTAGCATCCTCCCCACTCTTGTTATGCAGAGTCCTGATAAGGATGCAGATAATTCGGGTTTTATAAAATACTTTTTAATTTTGTCCATGATGAATTAGTGGATAAAATGCGATAACATAATCTACTGATGGTGTTCTAGAATCTTTAAAGTGACGTGCCACACAGCACGTAAGATTTCACGCCTAAAAAAATCGACTGCTGGGTTAAGGCAGAGGTACGACTGGAACGTAAACTATAGGATCTACGAAAGATCAAGACATTCCTGTCGATCTTCGTGAGGGGCCATTAGCCTGCTCTCTGCTTGCACACACACTGATGCTTACGTGCGTAGTCACACGCACATCTCAGATGCGGTCACGCGACTGACATCGAATGCGGTTACCAATGACAGGGCGTTCGGCGACCGAAACTTTTCAGATGGTGGATCGCTACAACAGAAATGGTTTACGTTGTCTGACGTTTTGTGCCGGAATTATGGCAAGACGATCACAGCGAACGGCAGTCTGACGAAGACAGAACTAGAATGATACCAGGCGTGACCTGCTTTCATCCGAAGGGACTGTAGGTTTGGTGTCGTCTCTGCGTTTTCTGACCGCGAAATGTCTCACGTTTCTCGAATACTTTATTAAGGTTGCACTGAACCTGGGTCAACGCAGGCGTCGCGGTGCTGGCCCGTGGCAAGTACGCCTGACAACTGAACGGAATCCAATATCAGTATTAGTGTTGTCTTGTTACAAAGTGACGATTGATTTCAGGTCACGTGCCAATTGCACTAATCCGGCTTTCTAACTAAAACAGGGGTTTTCAACCCGCAGCCCGCTGAAATCGTTCATGAGAGGCTCGCGAATAGTCTGCCGCTGCAATGCGTTGCTGTCCTCTGTACGTGACAGAGACTTTCGCTGTCGGGAACACGACGCGGTTTGGAGGGACGCGTGCGGATCGCAAGAGTTCTCACAGAAAAGCAGCGTCATTGTGGAAAATCGACCTACGAGCCTGTTTCTTGCAGTATGTCGGTGTCACTTTTTGCATATCGCCGTGAAATGTCAGTAAGTTATCGTCGTTTGTAACCTTGCGGCCCGCGAGTCGATAAGCAATGGCGAATGTGGCCCCAGGTCTGGAGAAGGCCGCTATCTCCGACAACTAGATGCGTTTCGTTTCTCAGGATGTGGCGTCGGTCTGTGTTGCCTTGGCGCCCCGCGGCCTGCAACACGTCGGGGCGCGTCTCCCCCCCCCCCCCCCCCACCTATCGGCGCCAAATGCGCAGACTACAGGCTCTGGAAAGCAGAGGTCTTGTCAAAGTGCGATGTTCCTCGGATGCTGAGCAAACTAACTTTCAGCTTCGAACACGTTAAAGCCACCGGCCGAGAGGTTGGCACTCCTGTAACGTTTTCCACGCGTCCAGGGTCCATACCTCAGCCTGGATAATCTGCGTGTGGTTTACGTGTCTTTCCTCAGTCCCCTCAGTTGAGTGCTGCGACAGTACCCTGAATTAGGTGACAGAAGCCTCGTTTCGTCTCCTTTCTGATTCATGGTAGTCTACATTAATCTTTCTACTGTACCAACACTTCGGTAGGCTACCCGGGCGGTTACTGACTACGCGTGTTCCTGCGCAGACCTGTCGTTGCAAGCCGCCCTACAAATCTGTCGTTCACGAAGCTGGAGTGACCGCCACCAAATTGAATGTTTCATGGTCACAGCAAAGTCATACAACGTTGCGACACGAACAGCTGACTCCAGGCGAGTGAAGACAGTTTAGAACTCGCAACGTAGCAAACCTGACAACGTTGTAATAGTGCCCCCCTGTGGAATGCGTCCATGGCCTTGAAGCACACAGTTCGGTGACTAAGTGCATTCGTCACGAACACACTGACTTCCCTCTCTTGCAACAGAAACAGGGTCAAAGCCCCGCTCCTAATAATTTTTCATGGCTCTGGTTTTTTTTTGTATAATTTGGTCTAAATCTGTGGCGAGACGGAAACATTCGGGACTGAAAGACATCTCAATACGCTTCAGGTTTGTTAACGATCCTGAGGCAGACAACCACA